CTGCTAAATTAGGGACGGCTAGCGCAGATAGCCCTCGTGTAGCTTTGCGCGAAAATTCAAAAAACAAACAAACAATTTACAAGTCCGGAATTATTTTCCTTAACACACACATATATATAGATGATTTAATTAGTATTAATAATCCAGTAATAATTAATTAAATTGGTAACTTGGTTTGATTTGTTATGAATTTTGCGCAAAACTGCACAAAGCTAGTCGACGGTAATTTGTCAATGGTAGACTAGAGGGAAGGTAGGTAGTCAACACCACCCACCGACAACTCTTAAGCTACTCTTTTACCAACGAATAGTGCAATTGACGTCACATTATAACGCCCTAACGGCTGAACTGGCGAGCATGTTCGGTGACGAAGATTCGAATCCGCGACCCTCAGATTGCAAGTCGAGATCCCTTACCACCAGGCTATGCCAACTCCAATTGGTAACATTTATCCTACAGGTCTACAAATCGAAAATACCTCCTTATCAAATACTGAAGCATATTATGTAGATCTAGATATTAAGATAATGAATAATTATAGCAATATTGATATTCACGATAAAAAAATAATTTTACATTTCAAATATATGGACTTCCCTCGCTAAATAATAATCTTCAAACTAATTCCATACAGTGTATTACACATTCACAACTTCTTAGATATTGTAACATTTGCAGTAATATACAATTTTAAACATCCAATATAAGTTTATTAGTACATTTTTGTTTTTCAATTAATTATAGCAATATTGATATTCACGATAAAAAATAATTTTACATTTCAAATATATGGACTTCCCTCGCTAAATAATAATCTTCAAACTAATTCCCTACAGAGTATTACACATTCACAACTTCTTAGATATTGTAACATTTGCAGTAATATACAATTTTAAACATCCAATATAAGTTTATTAGTACATTTTTGTTTTTCAATGGCTAGGATGAGAAAAACTTAATTCAATGTTTTGAATTATTTTTTAATAAGTACAAAAAAGTATTTACATAAATTTGAAAATAATGACATAAATAAAATTATAATATATAGGATAAAAATAATTTATAAAATTTATTGGTGGGAAGGAAAATGGATATAATTGTAGTTGTATCACTTTCCCTATAAAAGAGTTGCTACTGTGTCGATTTCTTTAGAACCATTAAAGATCCAGATAGTAGCATCAAAGGGAGGGGGATGGGAACTATACTAATAGAGAAGATTTCGCTTACTATGATAGTATCTTAATATATTTTTATTTATATCGAAACAACACGGGGGGGGGGGTTGAAATGCCAATTTCAGTAACAGTTTTTCTGTCTTTTTCATTGAGATATAGTACTTAATTATTATCATCCTTACTATTTTGTTTTATTATTACTTTTTACAGCAATCACCTTCCTACTTCTGGCTGCCCACAGCGAAGAGTGGTAAAGATGTGGGACGTTGTGGGCTATAGCACCCACATCTGACTGTAGACAACAAAAGGTGGTAAAGATGTGGGACGTTGTGGGCTATAGCACCCACATCTGACTGTAGACAACAAAAGGTGGTAAAGATGTGGGACGTTGTGGGCTAGAGCACCCACATCTGACTGTAGACAACAAAAGGTGGTAAAGATGTGGGACGTTGTGGGCTAGAGCACCCACATCTGACTGTAGACAACAAAAGGTGGTAAAGATGTGGGACGTTGTGGGCTTGAGCACCCACACCTGCACCTTTTCTCTTCTTGTGAGGACGGTGAACTTGGGGTTAAATCGGATAGACTGTGCACCCCCCAACGCAATTTGGGTCTTACTTCCGCCGGTACTTCAAAAAACCAGGACACATTACATTATGACCCACCCTATGATTTGTTCCCCGGTGTTGGATATTTGTTCGGTGACTGCGTTTTTATTTGTTCAAGTTTATTTTTACCTTTATTTATCTACTTATCGTTATTCTTTCTTTCCTTCTCTACAAAATTAAAGCTAACGTATGCCATACATATATTTGCAAATTATAAAACTTTTTAACATAAAACGAATAGATTTCTTTTCGGAAAAGGAAAAAAAACACAAAATGATTATAAAAAAATCCCACATTTAAAATAATTACATCTTATAAACTGCTTGTCGTTTGGGAACTGTAGGTCACAAGATTAATTCAGGAAAGTTTCTAAAACTTCTACAGAAAGTGTTCAACGTGTTTTCCCTCATTTCTCAATCAGCGTATGAAAACTACATCTACACGGAACAGTGTTCGTTATGTTGTTGTTTGTTTGTTTTTGAATTTCGCGCAAAGCTACACGAGGGCTATCTGCGCTAGCCATCCCTAATTTAGCAATGTAAGTCTAGAGGGAAGGCAGCTAGTCATCACCACCCACCGCCAACTCCTGGGCTACGAATAGTGGGATTGACCGTCACATTATAACGCCCATACGGCTGAAAGGACGAGCATTTTTGGTGGGACGGGGATTCGAACCCGCGACCCTCCGATTGCGAGTCGAGCGCCCTAACCACCTGCTCATGCCGGGCAGCGTTATGTTGTATAATACGGACTTGAAACACACTCGACCATATCCAAACACTCTTGTATAAAACATATGTTTTACTATGAGTTTCTGATGAAAACTTGTTCCCATATGACAAATTGTATTTATCATATAATCATTTTAGACATCGAGGTTATTTCCTAATTATTTGGTACATATTGTATGCAATGTTGACAACTATCAATAGTATTGATAGGTAAAAATAAAGTAAAATGGGTCAAAATGATTTTAATAATCATGAATTTTTATTTTTTTTGCAAAATCAATATGAGCATTGTCATTTATGAAACAGAAAAACTTGTAGCTGTTTCAAATAATACGTTCTAAAAATTAACATAAATCGAATGAATTGTAATGTATAATTCCACGGACAAGAACTCACCTTGAAGGTAAGGGATGAGTCGGCACATGACGTCACCAAAGATGAAGTTTCTCAGCAGACTTCCAACTAGAGTGAATGGCATGCAGAAGACACCAAGAAGAAGATCGCTTATGGCTAGATTCAGAAGAAATGTGTTTGTTACAGTCCGCATTCTTTTGTTGTGGAGCAGAATAGTAATGACCATAACGTTTCCCAACATAGCAGCAATAAAGATAATAGAATAGACGCAAACAAGTGCTATGGCAGACGTTGTCCAGACCAAACCTGAATAGAATGCAAGAGGACGCTTGGATTGGAGGGAAAAGTTCTTCTCTGTTGCATTTGTTATTGTAGCAAGTCCTAGTTCTTCTTGTAAAAGAAACCAATCTTCTCTGCTGAAATTGGACTCTAAAACTGTCGAGTTAAGCTCCAGCAAATAACTGAATAAATCTGCCATTACTAACTTTTTATCTAACGTCAAAGTTGGCTAAGATCTAATTTAGGAATTGTTTGTCAATACTGATTCGTTGATTAGAATTTAGTTTAAGAAAATCAGTAAAACGGTAGATAATTGAAAAGTTTCTTTACAGATAGAGAAGAAACACTTCCTTTATGGAAATTATGGTCTGGTTTAGTTTCTTCTCCTAACAGGACTTATCTATAACTCGTCTCAACAAAGTGAATAACGCCGTAGATCTGATATCAGGTCTCAGGTGCGACAGACATTTGCTTGAGCGCGCATCGCTGTGCGCGTGAGCACGTGGTAACGAATCAAATCGTGAATCTTATTTCGAAAAAAATATATAGTTTTTTCTATTGTCTTAACCTTTGTTCTAACTTGCCTGTTTTTACTCAGTGTGAATTTATATTAATTTGAGAACGTGTTCAGTTGCTAATATACATAATTGCTTTGAAAAGGCAGTTGATATATATATATATCTTTGTCATGTTATAAGTCCAAACGAACTTTATTTTTCCCATGTGTATCTCGTTTCCGACTTATTGTATGGTCTTTTTCTCTGGCATGTTGGGCTATTACAGGTAGATTGGTACCACCAAGTCTTGTTGTATATTGTGCGCTTTCCTGAATTGTAACTATTGTTGTATCTCTATTGTATTGGGTCCATTGGGGATTTGGTGTGAATACTGTTCTGCCTTTATGTTGTTTACATATTATCTGAATGTTTTCAGACAGACCTCTAACATAGAAGAATGCTTGTATTTATCTTCATTGTGTTCTTTTTTATCAGTATTACAGGTGTTCATCTTAAGCAGAGCAGGAGCTCTTTAACTTTACTTCCATCTAGTTAGTTTTTTCAGTATTACAAACCTTGTTTATTCTAGCATCTAGGTAGTTTATTACGCTTGTCTTTTACTTGTGGAGTGGTTTCATTTATATTATCTGTGGTTTCCTGTAATCTCCTGTGTTATATGAGTTATGTGTTTTGGTAACCATCACGTCAGTAAGTGGAAGTCTGTACTTATCCATATATCTATTCAATTACAGTTATAGAATTAAGCATATTAATTAATGCTACAAACCAGGTAACTATAAACTCACACATGTACAACTCACACTTAGTCTAAGAACCAAATTCATTGCTTTTCTCCATAGATAATATTTTCAATACATTTATTTTTGTTTACTACTGATACTGAATCCACCACTATGACTTTTAGATGCAAGACAGCATACCAGCTTATTCAGTAACTATAAAACATAAACAGGCAAAATATAAGTAACGTAACTAGGTATTAGTATAGAACAAAAACAATATGACCGATACTTTGGTCTTAGTTGATCTTTGACATTGATAAGATGATGCTTGATTTTGACTTCTACGTGTTCCGGGTTTTTCTAGAAAGATAACCGATCAAAAACTTAACTATTGTCTTACTACCTCATATAAAAGTGCGTGTAACATGATCCAATAACACTTCCACATCAGTATATAACACATACCATGACATTCCCTGTAAAATATCTTATAACACTGTCTGAAACGAGTGACGTGGCAATAATTTAGAAACTAGGTTAAAAATTTCAAAATATTTCCACAAAAATAAGTCAATAATTTATTAATTTGTTTTTTATATACCTACAATAAGAGGTTATGTTAAAATGATTTTGGTGTCTCACCACGTCATTACAGTTCATGTTGTCACATGAAGTCATGCTCTGTCTGACGATCGTGCATCTTGACAATAGCCCTGTAGCAAAGTTTCCATTCCAAAAGTCTCCGCGGTAAGAATGTTAAGTCAAAAGCACACCACTACTCACCGAATGTTTTCATAGGCCACCTAGTGTACGAAAACAGTGGTTTCTTCAACAGTCCGAAGTCACAGAAATTCGTACGCGACTTGAATTATATGTCATCCTATAGAATAGCATGAATATCCGTTTCACTCTCCAGCGCCATTAGGTTTGATTTGTTTGAAAAGCTATACAAATGGGGTATCTGTGCTCTGCCCACCACGGATATCGAAACCCGGTTGCTAGCGTTGTAAGTCCGCAGACATACCGTTGTGCCACTGGGAGGCGCTCCGTTAGGTATACAACGACTGAATCGATACATAGTGGAAGCAGTTTGAGTCACTTATGTCACTTTTCCAGACTGAGATCCTTCTTGAATATATTACTTACTGTTGTTTGAGACATCTGGAAAGTTTTTGGCACTGACCTTTGTGTTCTGGAATCCTCTTCTGTTACAAGATGCCGTACTTTGCTTACCACGGCTAGGGTACGATTTGTTACAGGTTTTTTTTTGTGATCGTGGTACCCTTAGTTGATCCATATTCCTTTGTTTTTTCCAATGCCATTAAGTACAACGGATATAATCGTCTTCAAAATGCTAAGTCCCCGATCTGAACAAATCTTTCTGACTTAAGTATATGAGTCTATTGAGTCGGAAATGACTATTACATACCCTACCCAATTTTTGATGAATAAACGTTACCTACATTATGCCAAACAATGTGAAAACTTAGTACATGTTATCGTTCTATCGCGACTTTACATCTGCTGTACTGTCACATGACTTGCTGATGGGGATATTTAAAATCGTTTAATGTTACTCAACTCTCTGTAGTAAGAACCTTACTTTGTCATAATTAATCACCAGTTTTCCCATAAAATTTAATTCCGTAAATTAATTAACAGGTGCTACTATACAACTTACATTATCCTACAGTACAGTTTAGAGACCTAGTTTTCCGTAGTGAATTTTTATTTCGTGCAGTGTAGAAATTATTAGATCAGATGTAAAATATTTTGGTTAAAACCATGGAAGTAACTAAATTTCCTGAAATTTGAACATTAGTATATTCAAAACCACTTTTCTACTATCCAATGTTTTTGTCTTTAATGCGACTTCTACATTATTCTAAAGGCTATAAACATAGACTGAATTACTCTCGGAAAATAATAAATGAGTGTGGCTTTTTAATTTTTAGAAGAAGAACTTGGAGATTTCAGATTCAATAAAATTCTGTTTTATACGTAATAGTATTTTCTTCTGAAATGTCCTTTTAAATCTTTACTCGTTAAGGTGTTTTGTTGGTGTAGACTCTCTACTGAACAGTCAATAATTCCTATTACGTCTCGATGAAGACAAGTGGGCGTCCTACAGGATCCATCTTCCCTGTAGCATGTTTTAGCAGAACTCAATATATGCTTTTACTTTATTGGAAGACAAAACGATGACGAAAAACTGGTTAGGAAAAACAAGATACATAGAAGGGATGTTGATATTGTTAGATCTAGTTGTTCGATATTAGATGTGTAGTTTCATGCCTTTACTAAGCAAAATTTATCTATTAAATCTTATTCTTAAGTTTTTAATTTCATGCAGCATTTAGGGTATACGCCATACCGTTTTAATGGCGAAAGCTATCAGTTTTATTTAATCTTTTATATCTCTTAACCGAAATATATTTAATGACGAAATAAATTAATATAAGAGAAAACAATAAAAGACATAAAAATTTAAGATTTTTTCCTATACAAGATGTAATAAATGAGTCTGTCGATTATGTATTAATTAGCTTTGGTTGTGAAATAAGTCTGGTTATTGTTTAAACTTACAGACATTATTTGTATTGATTCCATATTTCGTTGGAGACATCCTGTTTCCAAAAATTGTCAGTTTAAATCAAAAAAGGCTTTTTTTAATGATAATAAATAATAGAAGCATAATGAATTTGGGTTAGATACTTCAAAATATGAAATTGCTTTCGGAAGTGTAAACGATTATGTGTAATATTAGTTAGTGTCATTCTAAGGAGTCAGTGAAAAAACATTAATAAGTGTTTAGTGTGTAATTGTTAAGGAATTTTAACAATTTTCAAACAATCATCAGTTTGTAATATTGTATGTGCACTTTTGCAAAAGCATGAACGTTCAAGTTTTATAAGTAAATTCATGTTTTGTGTAAGGATAGTTTTATGGATCAAGACAGCAACGACCGGTGTGTTTTTATATAAGTAATGATCCTCGTGTTTCTTGTCTTGGAGAGTTTTGTGAATCTAAGCAGCAACGACTGGTTTGTTTTTATATAAGTAATGGTCCTCGTGTTTCTTGTCTTGGAGAGTTTTATGAATCTGAACAGCAACGATTGGTGTGTTTATATCTAAATAATAATTAAAATATTTGTTAATAACTTATTTTTCATAATGACCCTTATGAAGATTATTCTATTGTTGTTGGTTTAGGAATAATCTAAATCTCCTAAGCTAACAAACCTCATTAGATATTATAGAGATTATGGCTGAACGTTAAAAGCAATGATAACACATTGGTATTTAATGCAATGTAATCATTGTAGGTTTTCAGTCGTATTTATTTACAACATTAAGTATTTCTAGTCAGTATGTTATACACGATTACCATTATTATTTACATAACCGTTTATTATGTTATCATATTATAGATCTGCATAATTACACGTTCATAAGTTTGTGTAAAATGTGTTTGCATTTCAATGGCTGTCACTCGTCAACAAAAAGTAAGAACTGTTATCAGTAATAAGCGGGACAGAAATCCAGTAAACCTGTCTGGGTATTTTGTTAAGCAGCTGGAGGGTATCATTACATCGTGAACTACCGCAAAGCAATCGAAACCTAGACTTTAGCTTGTTCATTTAATCATTGAATCGAGTATAGTGAATAAAAAAAATGCAATGTTGTGAAAAAATAGGCTTAATGATCAACACGTCAAACTTTGTTGGTATGAAAGGTTTCACATGATTGATCCTGGTGAATGACATTGCTTAATTTTCATTTTATTTATATATATATATTTCTTTATTGAACAGCTTTCCGTTCTTGACAGTCACGTCTGTCTTGAACAATGCAAATTATTGTTTATGAAGATGCGATTAACTTCAGAACGATTACATGTTATAAAAGGAAGAAGGGTAAGTTTATAGGAAGCAGAGTAAGACTCCAACAACCTTGTAA